CACATGCACATATGTACTAAAGCAATCACACACACACTTAAATACCCTACATATACACACACTGAAATTCTCGACACACGCACACACACACACACACACACACACACACACAGATGCATGCACACAACTGCAAACACATACACACCATGCTGCACCATTATGCATGTCAACATGCATTATCATACATATATATGCATTTAAAACACATGCACAGCAAACAGACAGACACACAGACAGACACACACACACGCACACGCACACGCACACACACACACCTCTCCATTCCTCTCTCTACCTCGTACAGTTCTCAGATTGCCATGCATGAGCCTCCCCAGTATCTGATGGGGTGCAATTGTAATGTACTGTAGCATTTGAATGATGTGTGTCTCTGCATGTTGGGGATTACATTATAGATTCATAGCCCAGAAATGCACTCCTGCTAACAACAGCCAGCCCTTTAGGTATTATAGCTTCCAGGGGGGGGCGGGCTGAACACAGGAGGAACAGCAGCTAAAAGGAGTTTATTAAGCAAAATACTGGCAAGAAAAACACAAGTATTATAAACTATTGTACATTTTCTATATTGTCCTTTTGTGACAACATTGCATATCGCAGGTTTTCCTTTTGTTGGATCTGTAGTCACACTTGCTGCTATAATTATCTTCACACCATCATTAACACAACTCAATTGTTTAAAAAGGGTATGCAGTAAATTAACATGTTTGGAAAATGCTTAAATTATTCTCACATACAAGCTGACATATGACCAACATTATGAATCTTTCTTATCTCTCTCACAACATAGCAGCAATTAAAACCTAACCTAAAACATACAGTGAACCCTACTGCATTGGTGCAGATGAAGTCATTGAAATCATTGAAACATTAATAAAAAGCACTTTGACTTTGTGTAAAAAAAGGTTGGTGGAATGGACACAGTGAGGTGAAATATTACATTGACTTAAGGCCCTGACACACCAGGCCGATTTCGGCCGTTTTCGTTAGTCGGAAGACGAAGCGTGTCCTGTCGCCCAAACTTAATTCGGTGTGTCCCGCACCGTCGGCCGTGACACGCCTTATTTGGACTGCCTGACCCGATGCATGGCTGATTCAGTTGGACCAAGCAATCACTCTGATTGGCTGTTCAGCTAGCGAATCAGTGCATGAGAAGCGAAACGGAAGTGAGGGACGTAAACAAACGATTTAAGAAGGCACAGACTGCTATTCATTTTCATCTTATCATGGCGATCTGGAATGACGGAAACGAAGACCTGCTCATCACCTTGATCCAGGAGAGGCCAGCTCTGTACGACATCACAGAGAAAAGGTACTCGAACCGAGTAGTGAAAACCGGACTCTGGCGAGAGATTGAAACGCAACTTGGTTTCTCGGGTAAGATTATCTTTTTCATCAATTGAGCTCTTTAGCAGATACTGTTGGCTTTTTATTGTTTGCCAGCGTACAGTGACGTTAACGTGAAATGTAATTTAGTTATTTCAACCTTGTGTTTTGTTGTTATCTTGTTGCTAGCTGTTGCTAGCTGTGCAGTTTGGCACTGCATATAGATATGAATTGGACATCCTAACTATCCACAATGCTTACATCGTTTATGTGTGTGCTTCAGAGAAAGAGCTGAGGAACAAGTGGGATTCTCTGCAAACCCAGTACACCCGGTACAGGAAACTTGCCACTTCAGGTAGTTGTGGAGCACAAAGGACTGGCAGACAGCAGTGGATCCTGACCAGGCTGCGGTTTTAAGAGCCCTACACAAGAAGGGAGGAGAGTACTTCGAACCTCACCATCACGGTAACTATTTTATTTGTTGAGTACAAATAAGTGTTTCTTGCTTCTTTCATTTACAAAAACATTATTTGCATTCATTTGGTGGTTACAGTGGTAAATATAACAATAACAGAATAATATATATATTATTGTATTATAATTATTGATGTGCTCATCACCTTAATGTTGCAGCTGGTAAAGGAGCTAATTTAAATGACATGATATACTGCTTGGTAGCTTATGAAATTCACCATGGGATCAATAACGCTTTTATCTTAACCTATAATAATACATGATCAAATATGTCTTGATTATATTTTGTAGTGTTCTGAATCTTCTAGAAGTATGTCTTTAGCATCTGAATAGAGCCATCACAATGTGTCTACAATGTACCTCTCACACTTGACCACACCCCAAACTAATGGCACACACATTTCAGGGTATTGTTTTGTTATGAATGCTTAGTAAACAGTTTTAAGAAGCCATGGTATTAAATCCAACTAACTGTGAATTTATTTAAAAAAAATTAAGGAACGTCCGGTGGCTGCAGAATCAACCCCCGGTGGCACCAGCAGTGAAACCTCGACCAGCACCACCGAGGAGTCCTTCCACTTTGATGCTGAGCCCTGCACCCCCCTGGCAGAATCCACCATCTGCACCACACCGGCACCGCTCGGAGAGAGGCCAAGCACACTCAGCACTCGAAGGCCTCCGGCGAAGCGCAGGATGATGATACTAAATGAGATACTGTCTACCGCTGTTTATTGTTCAAGATTGAAATGTAAATGTGCAAGCCGGTTTTCTGCCCCTCTATTCACATGTAGCCTTTCATACGTGATGGTTTCTTCATTCTCGAACTGTTGTGGAGCAGAACTATAAAGTTGCAGGATTAGTCTCAAGTACCTCAATATAATTATAGTATGTCTGCACTTTAAGTGCTCATTTCATCATTCATTCATGTATTTTATATTCTACTAAAACTGAATCAAACCATAAACAAGGTGGCCTGTTGGGATTACTATATATATATATATATGTATATATATCTGCATTATTTTATCCCACTTTATGCTTTGCTCTTGCTGCTTGTTTTACACTGATTTTATATCTTATTTCTTACTGATGTAAAGCACTTTGAACTGCAATCCCCTGTATGAAAGGTGCGATACAAATAAAGTTATTATTATTCAGATGGATGTTTCTGCCCCTCTGTTCATTCTCCCATTATCCTCCTCAATCTGCCTAGAAGTATTTCAATGGTTGTAGCTGTTACTATAACCAATGCTAATGCTAGGGCTGCAACTGACTTATGTAGGCACATTGTTATTGTTTCTTATCGCTGTGTGATTAAAAGAATAAACACAAATAGCACGATAGGCAATGCAAAACTTTATTTCGTACCTTCATACACACAACATTAGAATGAGCTTTTATCAACGCCTACATGATGATAACCTGTCAACATGACAGGAAAATCCACATGACATTAATACAGAGCGGGCAGAACCCAAATCTAGCTCCAGTGCCGCACGAAACATGTTTTCGAAAGGACGAGAGTGAAAATGGAACGCACACACTATTTGTTTGTTTATATCATGCAGTCGGTTCTTCTTCTCTGTCTTCTGGTTGTTGCCTCTTTTGAATGAGGAATACACACTACCGCCGCCTGCTGGTAAGGAGAGTTATTGCCACTCACGCACTGAAGTCTTTGCGGTGTGTTCCCGTGCGACACATGGCCAAGAC